TCCTAGTCCAACGTTTGGCGGGGATGAGAACCATCCCGTAACTTAGTGTCGGATGGGGGAGAGGACGATCTCAGTCCAACGTTTGGCGGGGATGAGAACCATGCCGTAACTTAGTGTTGGCTTGGGGTGAGAACCATCCCGTAACTTAGTGTTGGCTTGGGGTGAGAACCATCCCAATCCAATGTTTGGCGGGAGAGAGAACCATCCCATAACTTAGTGTCAGCTGGGGGTGAAGACCATCGCAATCCAACACTTGGCGGGAGTGAGAACCATCCTGTAACTTAATGTTGGCTGGGGGTGAGAACCATCGCCGTCCAACGTTTGGCGGGGGTGAGAACCATCCCGTAGCTTTGGTGTTGGTTGGGGGTGAGAACCATCCTAGTCCAACGCATGGCGGGGGTGAGAACCATCCTGTAACTTAATGTGGGCTGGGGGTGAGAACCATCCCAGTCCAACCCTTGGCGGGGGAGAGAACCATCCCGTAACTTAGTGTTGGCTTGGGGTGATAACCATCCCAATCCAATGTTTGGCGGGAGAGAGAGAACCATCCCGTAACTTAGTGTCAGCTGGGGGTGAGGACCATCGCAATCCAACGCTTGGCGGGGGTGAGAACCATCCTGTAACTTAATGTTGGCTGGGGGTGAGAACCATTGCAGTCCAACGTTTGGCGGGGGTGAGAACCATCCCGTAGGTTTGGTGTTGGCTGGGGGTGAGAACCATCCCAGTCCAACTCTTGGCGGGGGTGAGAACCATCCCGTAACTTAATGTTGGCTGGGGGTAAGAACTATCCCGTAACTTAATGTTGGCTGGGGGTGAGAACCATCCCAGTCCAATGTTTGGCGGGGATGAGAACCATCCCGTAACTTAGTGTCGGCTAGGGGTGAGGACCATCGCAGTCCAACGCTTGGCGTGGGTGAGAACCATCCCGTAACTTAATGTTGGCTGGGGGTTAGAACCATCGCAGTCGAATGCTTGGCGGGGGTGAGAACTATCCCGTAGCTTTGATGTTGGCTGGGGATGAGAACCATCCCAGTCCAACGCTTGGCGGGGGTGAGAACCATCTCGTAACTTAATGTTGGCTGGGGGTTTGAACCATCCCAGTCCAACAATTTGCGGGGGCGAGAACCATCCCGTAACTTAGTGTTGGCATGGGGTGAGAACCATCCCAATCCAATGTTTGGCGGGGATGAGAACCATCCCGTAACTTAGTGTCGGCTGGGGGTGAGGACTATCGCAGTCCAACGCTTGGCGGGGGTGAGAACCATCCCGTAACTTAATGTTGGTTGGGGGTGAGAACTATCACAGTCCAACGTTTGGCGGGGGTGAGAACCATCCCGCAGCTTTGGTGTTAGCTGGGGATGATAACCATCCAGTCCAACGCTTGGCGGGGGTGAGAACCGTCCCGTAACTTAATGTTGGCTGGGGGTGAGAACCATCCCAGTCCAACCCTTGGCGGGGGAGAGAACCATCCCGTAACTTATTGTTGGCTTGGGGTGAGAACCATCCCAATCCAATGTTTGGCAGGGGAGAGAACCATCAAATAACTTAGTGTCAGCTGGGGGTGAGGACCATTGCAGTCCAATGCTTGGCGGGGGTGAGAACCATCCTGTAACTTAATGTTGGCTGGGGTTGAGAACCATCGCAGTACAACATTTGGCGGTGGTGAGAACCATCCCGTAGCTTTGGTGTTGGCTGGGGGTGAGAACCATCTCAGTCCAACGCTTGGCGGGGGTGAGAACCATCTCGTAACTTAATGTTGGCTGGGGGTGAGAACTATCCCGTAACTTAATGTTGGCTGGGGGTGAGAACCATCGCAATCCAACGTTTTGCGGGGGTGAGAACCATCCTGTAACTTTGGTGTTGGCTGGGGGTGAGAACCATCCCAGTACAACGCTTGGCGGGGGTGAGAACCATCTCGTAGCTTTGGTGTTGGCTGCGGGTGAGAACCATCCCAGTCCAACGCTTGGCAGGGGTGAGAACCCTCTCGTAACTTATTGTTGGCTGGGGGTTAGAACCAACCCAGTCCAACGCTTGGCGGGGGCGAGAACCATCCTGTAACTTAGTGGTGGCCGGGGGTGAGAACCATCCCAGTTCAACGTTTTCCGGGGGTGAGAACCATCCTGTAACTTAGTGTCGGCTGGGGGTGAGGGCAATCGCAGTCCAACGCTTGGCGGGCGTGAGAACCATCCCGTAAGTTAATGTCGGGTAGGGGTGAGAACCATCTCAGTCCAACGCTTGGCGGGGGTGAGAACCATCCCGTTGCTTTGGCGTTGGCTGGGGGTGAGAACCATCCCATTCCAACGCTTGGCGGGGGTGAGAACTATCCCGTAGCTTTATTCTATGGAATTCATAAGAGGTTGGAGGAAGTCCCAAAGCAATTTTGTTGATTAAGAAAGAAATGACCTGCCTCGTTAAAAACCTTCCCAGTCAAAACCTAATGGGACAAAAGTCTGAGAAGGAAAAGAGTGCAGCATACAGGTTACATTTGTGTTTTAGCTATAGTATCATCTGAGCTTGTTAGCGTTCCACGCCCTAGGGATGGATTTTCCCTCGAGTCTCTCCAGAGCGTAAGCTCCCTCCTCCTAGCTTGTTGCTCGCTTAAGGACTAAGTCCTTTACTTCGTATTTCCTCATGATTACTCTTTGGTTGTATCGAGCAGCTACCCTTTCCTTTGATTGACGCTCAGATTGTGCTTCTCGCTCTCAGAATTCATCCAGGAGGTCTAATGCTTCGTTGAGATTTTGACTATTGGTCACTTCGGTCACATGGTCTTTCCTCCAAGAGGGCTCTCCAATCTCGACAAGAATCATTGCCTCTGTGCCGTAGGTTAATCTAAAAGGGGTTTCTCCTATACTAGATTGGGCGGTTGTCCGATAGCCCCACAGGACGTTCTCAAGGTTTTCAACCCACGCCCCCTTATGAGACTCTAGCTTCTTCTTGATTCCCTTTGCTGGCATTTTTTTGGCTAATTCCACTACTCTGTTGGACTGTGGGTGCTCTACTGCGGCGAAGTGGTGTCAAATGCGTAGGTCCTTCATTAGCTCCCGGAACTTGCCGTCTGTAAACTGAGTGCCGTTGTTCGTTATAACTTCTCCTGGGATGCCAAAGCGGTAAACGATATTTCTCCAAAAAAAAAACTTCCTCACCCTTTGGGAGGTAATGGTAGCAACTGGCTCTGCTTCAACCCATTTGGTAAAATAATCAATGGCGACGACCAGCCATTGGACTCGGCCTGCCGCCTCGGGGAACGGGCCTAGGATGTCCATCCCCCATTTGTAAAAAGGCTAAGGTGATGTGATCACAGTCAGTTCTTCTGGTGGGGCTCTATGTATGTCGGCAAATCTTTGGCACTTATCGTATGTCTTTACATGCTTATGGGCGTCTTGCTCCACGGTCGACCAATAAAAACCTGCACGAAGTGCTTTCTTTGCCAGAGAATGGCCGCCCAAGTGGTGGCCATTGATTCCTTCATGGATCTCCTCTAGAATGTATGCTACGTCGCAAGGGTTCAGGCACTTCAAGAGTGGGGTTGAGCAACCTCTTTTGTATAAGCGCCCCTGCACCATGCAAAAGTGAGCGGACTTTCGCATTATCTTCTTGGCTTCCTTTAGGTCCACTGGGAGGGTACCTTCTGACAAGTAGTTGGCGATGGGAGTGATCCAGGTACTTTCGGTGACCCCTTCTGCTAAATGTCTATAATACTCATGATGATACATGGATTAGGCAGGTTATGTTGGATGACAAAACGGTTATTACTTGGGCTCTTAGTGCTTACTAGCTTGGCGAGGATATCCGCACGCGTGTTTTTTGATCGCCTGATATGCTCGACTTCAATTGTCTTGAAGGTCGCCATGATTTCTTTTACTTTCTCCAAGTACTTGCACAACAGTGGCCCTTTAGCTTGATATTCCCCAGAAATTTGGAAAGTCACCAGCTGCGAATCGCTGAACACCTTGAGATGCTGAACTCCCAACTCTTTCCCTTGAAGCAGGCCAGCAATCATGCCTCATACTCAGCCTGATTGTTAGTGGTATTAAAGTTGAAGGATAAAGAGTGCTCCATCGCCACACCGTCCGAATTTTCAATTATCCTACCTGCACCGGATCCTTTGGCGTTGGTGGAGCCATCGACATATAGCTTCCATGACGCCAACCGTGGGGTTTCAGAACCGGAACCTGTGGCTTGGCAGGCGGTGGTGTTGGATTGTGTCATTTCAGCAATGAAGTCTGTGAGAACTTGAGCTTTGATGGCGGTTCTTGGCTCATAACTAATCTGGTACTCTGATAGCTCAATCGCCCATGACATCATTCTTCCGGCGAGATCGGGCTTGTGCAAGACTTGGCGGATAGGTTGATTGGTTTTGACCGTAATGGGGTGGCACTGGAAATACGGCCTCAGCCTTCGTGCCGCGAAGATGAGTGTAAGGGCGACCTTTTCCACTTGCTGATACTGCAGTTCAGCCCCTTGCAACACTTTTGCTGATGAAGTAAATAGGTTTTGCCCTTCCTCTTTTGGTTCTCTGACCAACGCCGCGCTGATGGCTCAGCGCCTATGGTGAGGTATAAGTATAGAGTTTCGCCACTGTCTGGTTTAGTGAGGACCGGTGGGCAGGACAAGGCTCTTTTGAACTCCTGGAAAGCTCTTTCACATTCATCGGACCATTGAAAGGACGTACCTTTTTTGAGTAAACCAAACAAGGGGAGTGACTTGTGTGCAGAATTTTCCAAGAACCGAGTTCGGGCCACTAGTCTCCCGGTCAACTGTTGAACCTCCTTGACTGTTTATGGGCTTCGCATTTCAACGACCGCTTCGCACTTATCAGGGTTGACCTCTATGCCTCTCTCGGTCAGCATGAAGCCTAGAAAATTGCCAACGGGTACGCCAAAGGCGCACTTACTCAGGTTGAGCCGCATGTTGTACTTTCGCAACCTATCGAACACGCCCTGAAGATGCAGCAGGTGTTGTTCTGGTGTTTGCGACTTGACGATCATATCATCGATCTAGACTTCAACGCTGTTGCCAATCAAGTCTTTGAACACTTCATTCATCATTCGCTGGTATGTTGCACCAGCGTTCTTCAGTCCAAATGGCATCATAGTATAACAGTAATTGGCATTCTGGGTGATGAACGCCATTTTGATTTGGTCATCTTCCAGCAATAGAATTTGATTGCAACTGGAGTACGCATCCATGAATGAGAGTATTTTGAAACCGGATGCATTATCCACCAGCTGATCAATGCTTGGAAAGGGATAAGCATCCTTAGGGCATACCTTGTTCAGGTCAGTATAATCGACGCACATCTTCCACGCCCCGCTAGGCTTTTTAACCAACACCGGGTTGAAGAGCCAGGTTGTATACTTGACTTTTTTAATGAAGCCAGCGTCATGGAGCCTCTTTACTTCCTCATCAATCACCTTTTGGCGATCAGGGCCAAACTTTCTTTTCTTCTGTGAGACAGGCTTTGCTTTGGGGTCTACGGACAATCGGTGGCAGCACACTTCAGGGTCTATGCCTGGCATATCAGATGGTTTCCAGGCGAATAGATCTTTATTACCTCGTAGCAGTTTGATCAGCCTGCTTTTGATTTCTGGGTCAATGATCACCCCGATTGTAGTTGTCTGGTGGTCTGCATCGCCCAAAACGACATGCTCTAACACTCCATCTGGCGTGGGCCTGGAATGTTCCACTGGGGGGTCGTCTCTATCATCGAATTCTACAAGAAAACACTGGTCAAGTTTTTTACTATTCCTGCAAGAATTTTCCTCAATTACTGGGCTGTTATCAATTGGGGCGCTGGTTAATCTTTGAAGGTGACCCTGGTTGCCGGTTTCAAAGATATGTTATAACAGCTCCTGGCTACCATTTGGTCTCCTCTTACTGTTGTGACCTTATTGTCCTTAGCAACGAACTTCATTGCCAGATGCGGGTGAGATATGCTCGCCTCAAATGCGGCAAACATTCTCCTTCCGATGATAGCGTTGTATGCTGACGGGGTGTCCAGAAGTAGGAATTGGATATCAGCAGACTGCGAAGTGGGTGGCGTTCCCATTGATAAGCGTAGATTTATCATGCCGAGGGGCTTGGTGACTGTTGCATTGAAACCTGACAGTTCACCAACAACATGGGTTAAGTCATTGACAGTAAACCCTAATGCCCTGAAACAAGGTAAAAATAAGATGTCAGCAGAGCTGCCATGGTCAACAAACACGCGATTAACGCCAAAATTAGCTATTATTGCTTGGATGACTAAGGGGTCATCATGTCCAGGCAGGACGTCGCCCAAATCGCCGTTGTCCCAAACAATTTTAGGCTTGGTGTGATAGGTATTGGCTTTAGCTTTGCTGATCATTTTACCAGACATCGCAAGACACTGCTTCAAATGCTTCTTTCTGGCGTTAGCTGTTTCGCCGCCGCCATTTAATCCACCTGCAATCATGTTATTATTCCATGCTTGATAACAGCCGGGTCTTCTTCACGTTCTTGACGCCCTTCATTATTGTTTGGGCTGGTTCGGACCCTGCGGTTTCTCGGGGAGTCTTCCCTTCGGTTATGCTCACGACGAGGCCCGTAGCCAGTTTGGCCAGTTCTTCGCCTTTCTGGTGACCTGCTACGTTCACGGCGACGCCTTCCATTACCATTTTCGCGCCCCGAATTATTGAACTGCCTTTGGGCTCCTCCCTTGATTAGCTTGTCAATCTCATCCTTGAGGGATCTGCACTCTTCAGTGCTATGGCCATTGCTCCGGTGGAATTTGCAGTACACAGTGATTTCTCTAGCTGGTGGTTGGTGCTGCGGGTTACTGTTGTGCTCTTTGTACTCAGTTTGTAGGACGTTGTGCGATTGGCGTCTTTAAGTATCACGCCCGATAGGGCGACTAGAACACTTGGAGGATTTGTGACTTTTCCTCTCCTCATCAGCCATTTTTTTGTTAGCTTTCTTCTCTTGGTTTTGAGAGTCGTCAGCTCTACTCCCTTTATACTCCTCAATTCTCATGAACTCTTGAGCTTTCTTTTTGACCTCTTTAAGGTCGGTAATCTCGTGGCGGGCGAGCTCGTATGCGAACGCCCCTTGTCTCAGGCCTGACAAAAGTATGTGCACCTGCACTTTAGGGTCTAAGCCTTGTACCTGAAGAGCCTCTTTGTCAAAGCGGTCCAAGAAAGACCTGAGGGGTTCCCCAGATTGCTGGAAAAAAATTTCGAGTGCATGTACAGACTTGGGCATTGGGCGGCTAGTAGTGAAATGGGTCTGGAACTTGCACGCTAGATCATCCTAAGAAGCTATACTCCCCGTTGGCAAAGTGGTGTACCATGTCAATGCTCTCCCGCCCAAGAGTGTAGGAAAAGTCCTGCACATAAGGAGATCTGTCTCGCCATGAAGGGTCATTGCTGCCTCAAATTTCTGGATCCACTCAAAAGGATCGGTATCGCCCACATACGTGGTGATATTTGACGGCCCTTTAAAACCGAGGGGTATGGGCGTTACGCGTAGGCTATCAGTCAGGGGTTTGTTGTGTCCTGAGGTATTAGCGGGTGTTACTCGTAAGTTTGGGTTTCGAGCCTGTAGGTCTGGTGGTGGGCGAGGTATTTGGGGGGCCTCAACAGAGTAAGAGAGAGCTGGGGCTTGATGGGCGCCATATTGTGGCTGGGCGGGGATCGCAACCGATCCTTGAGGTTGTTGAATGATTCCATTATGGGGGTGTATTGGGTAACCGTGGAATGGAAAACCAGTAGGGAAATGTTGAGGGAAAGGGGCAGCGACATTATGAGTGTAATGTCCAGGGGGATATGGGACGCCCATGGGGACTCGATGATCATTGTACATAGCCACTGGCTGACTTCGGACCGGTTGTGGACAATGGGCGAGTGGGATGGTTTGTGGAACATCAAACGGGAGTGGCATTCCGAAACGAACTCCCGGCGATGGGGGTTGATGCTCAATTAAGTTTTCTCCTTGCATTTCACGTATGGCTACTCGATGACTCAACTGTGGTATTCTAGCATCACCTGTTGGTAACTTCGGGCCAACAGATTGCAGTACCAGGAGAAGAGCCTCGTCGGCTGCTCGTTCAGCTGGGGCTGAATGCATGGACGGTGAGGAGCAGGAATGCACTGTTTGTACATGACCCTCTGGGTAATGGCTCTAGTTTGTTCTGTTCTTCTTGTCGTGACAACCATGTTTAGTTATCAGAGTGTGAAATGCGTCTTGCGGATCTTTGGTAGGAGAATGGGAATAGAAGTTTATAGTTTTCCACAGACGTCCAAAAGAGGCGTCACATGTGACGCCCAAAAGAGGCGCCACATTGTGCAATAGCTCCGTAATTATTCTCAAAACAGTAATAAAGATTTGGTTTGTGATTTAAATTAAAAGTAACAATTATTATTAATAAGGAAAACAAAATAAAGATTTGATTTGTGATTTAAACTCAAAAATCAATTTGAAAAATCTGTATTAATAAAGGAAATAATTAAATTAATATTCTAAATCTCTAAGGAAGAAGGATTACCTGATTTAAGTTTAAATTATGTTTTTGAGATATAAAATATATCAAATGAGATGCCATTGCGTAGATCTCGAAAAGTTATGTGGAATCAAAAAAAGAATTACCTGATTTGGATACCCGAGTCAAAAGTTATGGCCTTCAGAAGTTTTATGATTAAATTAATTTCTTTTTTGGAAAAAAATATGACACGTGTCAACACCTGATGACTGATGACTGACGCCTCATTGGGGCGTCTCCCCTTAGGGTGAGACGCCTCAATAGGGCGTCACATGTGACGCCCAAAAGAGACGTCACATTGTGCAATAGATCCGTAACTATTCTCAAAACTTTATTAAAGATTTGGTTTGTGATTTAATTTAAAAGTAACTATTATTATTAATAAGGAAAACAAAATAAAGATTTGATTTGTGATTTAAACTCAAAAATCAATTTGAAAAATCTGTATTAATAAAGGAAATAATTAAATAAATATTCTAAATCTCTAAGGAAGAAGGATTACCTGATTTCAATTTAAATTATATTTTTGAGAAATAAAATATATCAAATGAGATGCCATTGCGTAGATCTCGAAAAGTTATATGGAATCAAAAAAAGAAGTACCTGATTTGGATACCCGAGTCAAAAGTTATGTCCTTCAGAAGTTTTATGATTAAATTAAAATTTTTTTTGGAAAAAAAAATGACATGTGTCAACACCTGATGACAGATGAGTGACGCCTCATTGGGGCGTCTCCCCTTAGAGTGGGACGCCTCAATGGGGCGTCACATGTGACGCCCAAAAGAGGCGTCACATTGTGCAATAGATCCGTAATTATTCTCAAAACTGTAATAAAGATTTTGGTTTGTGATTTAAATTAAAAGTAACAATTATTATTAATAAGGAAAACAAAATAAAGATTTGATTTGTGATTTAAACTCACAAATCAATTTGAAAAATCTGTATTAAAAAAAGAATTAAATAAATAAATATTCTAAATCTCTAAGGAAGAAGAATTACCTGATTTAAATTTAAATTATGTTTTTGGGAAATAAAATATATCAAAAGAGATGCCATTGCGTAGATCTCGAAAAGGTATGTGGAATCAAAAAAAGAATTAACTGATTTGGATACTCAAGTCAAAAGTTATGGCCTTCAGAAGTTTTATGATTAAATTAATTTCTTTTTTGGAAACAAAATATGACACGTGTCAACACTGATGACTGATGAGTGATGCCTCAATGGGGCGTCACATGTGACGTCCAAAAGAGGCGTCACATGTGACGCCCAAAAGAGGCCTCACATTGTGCAATAGATCTGTAATTATTCTCAAAACTGTAATAAAGATTTGAGTTGTGATTTAAATTAAAAGTAACAATTATTACTAATAAGGAAAACAAAATAAAGATTTGATTTGTGATTTAAACTCAAAAATCAATTTGAAAAATCTGTATTAATAAAGGAAATAATTAAATAAATATTCTAAATTTCTAACGAAGAAGGATTACCTCATTTAAATTTAAATTATGTTTTTGAGAAATAAAATATATCAAACGAGATGCCATTGCGTAGATCTCGAAAAGTTATGTGGAATCAGAAAAAGAAGTACTTGATTTGGATACCCGAGTCAAAAGTTATGGCCTTCAGAAGTTTTATGATTAAATTAATTTCTTTTTTGTAAAAAAAATGACACGTGTCAACACCTGATGACTGATGAATGACGCCTCATTGGGGCGTCTCCCCTTAGAGTGGGACGCCTCAATGGAGCGTCACATGTGACGCCCAATAGAGGCGTCACATTGTGCAATAGATCCGTAATTATTCTCAAAACTGTAATAAAGATTTGGTTTGTGATTTAAATTAAAAGTAACAATTATTATTAATAAGGAAAACAAAATAAAGATTTGATTTGTGATTTAAACTCTAAAATCAATTGTAAAATTCTGTATTAATAAAGGAAATAATTAAATAAATATTCTAAATCTCTAAGGAAGAAGGATTACCTGATTTAAATTTAAATTATGTTTTTGAGAAATAAAATATATCAAATGAGATGCCAATGCGTATATCTCGAAAAGTTATGTCGAATCAAAAAAAGAATTACCTGATTTGGATACCCAAGTTAAAAGTTATGGCCTTCAGAAGTTTTATGATTAAATCAATTTCTTTTTTGAAAAAAAAAATGACACGTGTCAACACCTGATGACTGATGAGTGACGCCTCATTGAGGCGTCTCCCCTTAGAGTGGGACGCCTCAGTGGGGCGTCACATGTGACGCCCAATAGAGGCGTCACATTGTGCAATAGATCCGTAATTATTCTAAAAACTGTAATAAAGATTTGGTTTGTGATTTAAATTAAAAGTAACAATTATTATTAATAAGGAAGACAAAATAAAGATTTGATTTGTGATTTAAACTCAAAAATTAATTTGAAAAATCTGTATTAATAAAGGAAATAATTAAATAAATATTCTAAATCTCTAAAGAAGAAGGATTACCTGATTTAAATTTAAATTATGTTTTTGAGAAATAAAATATATCAAACGAGATGCCATTGCGTAGATCTCGAAAAGTTATGTGTAATCAAAAAAAGAAGTACCTGATTTGGATACCCGAGTCAAAAGTTATGGCCTTCAGAAGTTTTATGATTAAATTAAGTTCTTTTTAGGAAAAAAAAATGACACGTGTCAACACCTGATGACTGATGAGTGACACCTCATTGGGGCGTCTCCCCTTAGGGTGAGACGCCTCAATGGATCGTCACATTTGACGCCCAAAAGAGGCGTCACATTATGGAATAGATCCGTAATTATTCTCAAAACTGTAATAAAGATTTGGTTTGTGATTTAAATTAAAAGTAACAATTATTATTAATAAGGAAAACAAAATAAAGATTTGATTTGTGATTTAAACTCACAAATCAATTTGAAAAATCTGTATTAAAAAAAGAATTAAATAA